TTAAATAAATTCAAATAATATAATCATAGATATATAAAGATTGATCATGTGTATTTTAACATTCAACAATATTTATTTTATCTTTTATAGTCTTTAAATATTAGTATTTTTTCATATTTTTAAATATATATATAAGAGTTTGATTAAGAAGTATATATAGTTTTAATTCAACATTATTAAAAAGCTAGACTTTTAAATATCTTCTTTGCAGTATAATTAAAAAACTTTTAGATTTTAAGATATTTAAAGTGATTTGATAACTACTAATATAGACTTTTTTAAATCAGATTAAATTATTCAGTATTTAACTTGATAATCAACTTCATAAAATCTACTTTTTTAAAGAGTTAATTTTAATAACTTTTAATTATTTTAAGCTTTCAAATATTTAATTAACTAGTTAGTAATTTTTCTTAATATCAAAAATTTTATAAAGACTTGAAAATTATTTATTTAACTTAAATAAAAAAGTTTAACTAAATTATTAAAGTTTGTAAATATGAAATAATTACTTACTATATTTAAAAAATAATTTCAGAATATATTTGCTATAAATAAAAAATTATAAGAAATGTAAAAGATCTAAATATCAGATTTAATATAAAAAAGATTTAATTAAAAAAATCTCAATATTTTTATTAATTATTATGTTTTTTATTTAATATTATTTACAAAGTTTTTTTCTTTCTTAACTGACTAATGATAACATTCACAGTGCAATATGTCCCAATGCTATAATAGTATATTATAGTTATATTTAGATATATATACAGTTGTTCATAATTTTCAATCTCTCAATGTAAAATAGATATATATGAAAGACTTTTCTTTTTTCAGAGCTGTTAGAGCTATCAGAGTTTAAAAGCTTTTATTTAATAGTTTATTATTTTTCTCATTACTTCATATATCTCTTAAATTCAATCAATGTTATGTTTTATTTTCATGTTAAGTCAAACTGTCAGTAACAGTGTTGATTTAGTAAGATCAAAAATATGCTCAAGATACTAAGTTGAACCTCGCGCTCAAGGGAGACAAACGTTCCGTTATCTATATTAAGGTAATTAAAGCTAGCACAGTTTGAACTATCTCCTCAGGTTTCATTATGCGAGGCTACAAGGTAACGACCTCATTCTCTACCTTGAATATAAATGTGGATGAACAAAGAATGGACCTTTCACAACTGCCCACAGGTGATAAATACTACCTACCTACATTATTAAATAAAGTACAGCACATTAAACTTCAGTTATAACAATCTTTGTCTCTCAGAGTCTCTCTCTTGTTTTCTCCCCAACTGCTTGCTTCACATATTTCCTCTGGTCCTTAGGATAATATTTCCCCGAGAGGCAAGTTGCTCTTTCGGAAAAAATAATGTTGCGGTCCACATTTGAGCTCAAATTAAACTTTGACACCTGACTAAATATAAAACCCGTGACCTCGGGAGCCGGGATGATCCGCTCCCAGCTGAACGGGAAAACGTGCCTTTCGTGCGCCTAATTCTCAACCCTTTGTATATCAAACCTTAATACCTTATTAGAACATTTTTCCAAAGACTGAACGGTCTCATCAAGGGAAAACCTACATATATGACCACACTGAGGCATATGTTGGATTTGGGTTGACCGAGATTATTTTGTCGTTTTCTTCATGATGTTCCCAATTCCGGCCTTGGGTACGTTGTTACTAAAACACCATGAACCTGTTTCCTCAACTATCGAAGCTCGAGGTCTTTAAACGTTCATCGATAAAGTACGAAACCAGTCATTTGTCACATCCTCCATAGCAGGTACGAAACGATTTCATTCTGATCCCGCGACCTTTCACACAAGCCTAAACCATATTAAAACGGCCCGGGCCAACAACGTCGTCGACCTGGGCGGATTTACTCTTCCCCAGATATCGCTACGGTACACAAAAGATGCATCGTTGCAAGCCGTATCTGTGATGTGTCTGACGCGGTAGAGGTATCTGGCAATGCCATCTTAGAATATTCCCAACAGCATGTAGCCTCTTCAACTCCTAGGCCATCACAGAATCTACTTCTGTCGCTGTCGTATGCGAGCTATGGATTATCACCTCAGCTGGTTGCCAATTTTGCCTCTCTAGGTGTGAATTGTATCTACCAATGGCAGTATTTTTGCCTCCTGGGACGCGGCTATCTCACCGCAGAAAAAACTCGTATGAAGTGCCACAACTGGAGGCGGAAAGTCCCTGGTTGCGGATGTGCTGATGCCAAATCAAGTTATTGAGGATCCATCCAAGAAGGTAATTCTTGTACTGCCTTATGTTGCTCTTGTGCAAGAAAGGCTTGTCAGGATATTTGAATAGCTAATGTTGTATCAAATCGAGCTATATGTTCTTTGCATCTATCTTCTAACTAACTGCTAGTAAACTAGGTGGTAAACAACAGAGAGAGAATATACACGACTAAGGTGACTAAGTGTATACATGAATTATTGTCAGATTCTAATATATTTCTCATCAGCAAAATGAACATAAAGTGTAAAATGTGAAGTGCTACGCCCTAACAGTGCCACGCGCACTCACCATTAGTGAGTGCGCCCCACTGTAAAGGAAATATCTGTAGAGGGTTAAGCTCTAAGAACTAGAGGCTAGTCCTCCTATATAACAAGGACGAATTGCTTGGGAAAGGGAAGAAAAGAATGAGATGAGAACATGAGCTTAAGCAAGCTCACATAGCATGATCACATGTGCACATGCAAATGATCACTAGGCTGAGTCAGTCAGCCAGAGTGAATCTAGGGGTTCAGCCTCTTATAATACTCCTCTTCTCCCTCTTTGTTGCAGGCCTTTACAACTATTTAAAGTCCTCTTTACATCTAATTTTGCCTGCTGAGAGGCCTCTCAAGTGTTCAAAGCCTTCACTTCTTGTAGAAGACTTATGCCATTTCATGTAGACTCAGCTCAATCTATTTATTTAACAAGATATTGCTTTTTTCTCTGATAGATTTATTCATCTCAAATTTTCTCAATCTCAAACTCAGATTCTTTCAGAATCTCTATAGTGAGTGACTGTCAGTCAGTTTGTCTCTAACTAGGCAGGAAATTCATCACTGCAGCATGTAGATGTCAGGTCTATCCGCCTTCTTATATAATCCGCACTGTATATAACTTCCGCATAGCTAGTGATCATCTTATAATCAATCAAGCAATCTATTCTTGACAGATTATGAGATCTATTTTGTGCAAATAACTGCCAATTCAGGGAATTCTTGTCAAATATAGTGTATATTAATCACTGCTCACTTCATTCAATATAATATTGTCTTATTTTATGTCAATTGATCAATTTGACATACTATTATATTATTATTATTTTTTCTGTATTCAATTCATTCACTTAGTGAGTGAAAGAAAAATCTGCAACTTGCTAATTTTTCAGCAACTGATCATACAAGAACACATCAATCTACTCAATCAAGCTTATAGATAAGAATCTCACTGAATAAGATTACTCCATTATAAAGAAGATTAATATAACATGATGAAATGTATGATGACTCACTCATGGTTGTGATCAAGTCAATTCAGTCAATCTGACTAATCTGAAAATGATCAGAGGACTCTAAGCTCACTGACCCTCTCAGAAGCATTCAGAAGTTCCAATATTGAATCCCCTGAAACACTCAATCAGCAAGCCAAGCTGATTACAGCCCCTATCATGATGAGGCTGATTCATCTACATCATGTCAAATATACTGACCTGGCTCCTTCAGAAGATGAGGTGGAGATATCTGCAGTGATCTCTAACTCACCATCAACAACTGACCCTAAAGAATTGCAACTGAGGAGATTGAATCTTGAACATCAAAAGATTGATTTAGAACTTCAAAAAGAGAGATGCAAAGAATTGCAGCTTCAACTTCAATTGAAGAGGCTCCACACTCAGAATGACAGGGCTGCAATGCTCACAAATTCACCAGCAGGTCAAATGTCAGCATGAAATCTGAACTTGAGGTTCTGAATGCAATATAATCTCTATGATCTGGATAGCTGTGTCAGCAAGGTGATCAGTCAGTTTAAACAGAATACTAAATATGCCATCAAGTCAAATGCTCTAGTCAGATCTTTAAATTACCTCTTCTGGCATATGAATATGAAGGCCAAGCTAATTGACACTCAATGCTGAGTTATATTGGAGGACAAGCAAGTCAAAAGCCCTGATGAGAATCTTGAATAAGCTTCTTTTTAGAAGGTTAAAAATCACTGACTTTATACATTCATTTCAAACACATTGGCAGCCAGCATTAGGCTCTGTTTTAATAAGTATGATGAGAGCAGGATTGCTTATTTTCTTTGATATGCAGTTGAGAAGAAGTTCTTCATTCTGAGAACACAGCTCTGCAGAGAAGCAGTCCTGGCATTTACATCAATAAGTGGTGTCTAAGTCACTGATGTACATGTGTTTTTCAATAAGTTCAATGACATTACTATGAAATTGAAAATACTCAATATCTTACTGTCAAATGATATGATATTCCACATGTTCTATTCTGCACTTCCCAATATATGATAAAACTATGTGCAAAAGAAAATTGAGGAGGTACAAGAGTTCAAATCAAAGTCTGTCATATTGGATGTTCATTCAATCATGAAGGAAATATGCTCTCAATTGAATTCTCTCAAAGAGGCCAAGAAGCCTGCCCAGGCAGCTAATTCTTCAGCCAATGTGGCTCAGGTCAAAAACATGACTGTGAGTTCTAATAATAGCAGCAATATTTAAAATAATTCAGCCTGTGAGGACTGACCCAGAGGACACAGAGACTATCAAATGAGCAGACATTCAAAGTCTGACCTCTCAATCTGCTCAGAATGCAAGCATCATCATGGTGGACTCTGCTGGGCAGTCAATCTGAATAGCATCTCTGAAGAATGAAGGACTATCAACACAGTGAGAATAGAAAAATATAACAATAAGAAGAGTAGTGAGAGCAAGAAGGCCCTGTCAATTGCAAATGATAGCTCTGAGACATTTCAAATGATGAATCTAGTGCAGGTCATTGAGGTGCCTGTGTACTCTGCTGAATCAATCATCAACTCACTCATCATATAAGACAGTGAGGCTAGATATCATATTGCATGTGATCAATCATGATTTTTCCAAATAACAGAGATTAGTGACTCTATGATTCAAGTGGTCAATAAGACTATCTTGAAGGTTCAAGGAATCAAGGTCGCCTTCATCCCAGTCAGTGAAAGATTAATTGAATTTGATCATGTCTATTTGATGCCAGACTTATCTGCCAATCTCATATCTGCTGACCTATTGAAGTGCTAGGGCTATATTCACTGTGATCTGCAAGTGAATGCTGGAAATTACTTTAAGATAATAGCATCTACAGAAAATGACATCTTCTACATGATTTTGAATTCCAATAATATATATATATTATCTGACATCTCTTCTATGTTCAGAGGTATTATGAATGATCTGGAGCTTGAATCATTGACATACTTGACAGTTCTGAAGCTCAGAGTGATTTCAACAGATTATGATCTGAATGCTGCATCACTGAGTCTTTTCAACTGCAATGATGTAGAGCAGCTAATTAACTCAAAGGATTCAGATACTAATACCTTCATTTTGTCCTCATTAATTTGCTTACCCACTATTATGCCAAAGCAGCTACTGATTGATGAGTGACACCAGTGATTGAGTCATATTGATGAGAAGAATCTAATTAAAATGTCATGAGAGCCCTGTTTTGAAATTATCATCATCAGCTCAAAGAAGCTTTCATTCTGCACTATGTGCATTAAAGTCAAGCATAAACATGCAAGTTATAAAAATGCTCCTCTATGCTGTGCCACTCACAAAGGTCTTAAGATCTGAGTGAACCTATTCATGGGTGGAGAAACACTTGGTAATGAAGAAGATACACCATCTTATGCAGGTAAGAAGCTTGTAATGATGATCATTGATGATGTCACATGAATGTAATGGACCTTTCTATTGAAGCACTGCAATGAGACTCTAAAATATATACAGACCTTCAATCAATTTATGAAGAATCTGCTCAATTGTGATGTCACAATTATTCACTCTGACTGTAGTAAGTTGAATTCAAATGTGACAGCTGTCTATATGATGAGTGAGAGTATTAAATGGAAATCAATCTCATCTCATACTCTGCAGCAAGATGGTGTGTCTGAATGTTCAATTGATCTGATTATCAAAAAAGCCTGAACATTATTAATAGATTCCTCTGCCCCCCCTCCAGATATGAGATGAGGTGGTAATTGCAGCAACTGAAATGTTTAATCTTATGTCAATGTCAGTCAAGCTCTATAATAGTGTAGAGGATCTGGATCTGAAGTCAATTATCTCATATGAAGCTTGGCTCAGGGCCCTGCCCTCCACATGTGGAATTCACTGATGGGGGTGCAAGACTTATTTAAAAATAATGCTCAAGCTGAATATGAAGATGGCCTTATGATCACAGAAGCTTATATTTACAGGCTATGATAGTTTTACTAATTATAGATTAGTTGATCCTTCTAACAGTCACCTTTACACATCAAAAGATATGATATTTCAAGAAGATCTTCATTTGATGAATTCTTTGACCTCATCTGAGCAAGATGTCAAGAACCTGTCTTCTGCTGTATATGTGACTGCAGTTGCAATCCTCTCCACTTAATATGATTTATTAACAGATGATTTCATGATGGATGAGAAGTCTCTACCTGTTCTCTCAGTATTTCTACACTCTACAAATAATTGATGGATAGACTATAAGATTACTGTGTGAATTTCAACATTTTTGATGCAGAACACTACTGCCCTCCCAGAGTCCACTTTAGAGATGAAGAATTCTTCAATACTCACTGAGAATATTACTTCAGTGAGGGAGGCCTCAGTGAGAAATTTCACTGACAATTCAACTGATGTCTCTGCAGACCCTGAGATCACTGGCTTGCCAGTTCTGAAGAACCTCATC